CTGCTTTTTTAGGATATTGTTATTTTATTTAAAATTTGGTTAGTGTGATTGAAGTTCAATGCATTTGTTCGAGTTTGGAGACGTTCCAAGGGATGTAAGTTCACTTTTTAAGTATTATAGTCGGAACCAAGCTCCTCAAATTATTTTAAGTTGCATTTCTGAAGTTATATCAATTTGTTTACAGTTCTTTTAGGTTCCATTAGTTTTCCTATGTGGCACCCAAAAGTAATAATGTTTGTTGAATATCTCATTAACACTTTGAAAATTTGGAATTTCTGTGAACTTCTGTCAAAGTTCAGTGAGTTACAAAGTCCGTTAGCTCGGTTTTTTCGTGAGTTTCTCGAAAGATTCGTGAAAATGAACTTTTTGTTAAAGTTCCTTGAACTGGTCGACGGTTCAGAGAGCTTTTAGTTTATTCTGTGAACTTGCCCTTGTCGGAAATTCTGTGAACATCTCGGAAGTTCCGTGAATTTTTCGGAAATTCAATTAACTTGTCAGAAGTTCATCCACTTGCCGAAGCTTCCATGAGCTTTAATGTTTCGGGAAGCTCTCGGATGTTCCATGAATTGCACAGAATTTCCGAGAATTTCTGAGAAGCTTATGATACTTCCGACAAGTACACGTCACTTGCTAAAAGTTCACTTCAGGAAAGTTCCGAGGGAACTTCAGGAAAGTTCCAAGGGAACTTCAGGAGTGTTCCGAGCGAACTTCAGGAAAGTTCCAAGGGAACTTCAGGAAAGTTCCAAAGAAACTTCAGGAAAGTTCCGAGGGAACTTCAGAAAAGTTCCGAGGGAACTTCTGGAAAATTCCAAGGGAACTTCAGGAAAGTTCCAAGGTAGCTTCAAGAAAGATCCAAGGGAACTTCAGGAAAGTTTCAAGGGAACTTCAGGAAAGCTCCAAGGGAACTTCAGGAAAGTTCCAAAGGAACTTCAGAAAAGTTTCGAGGGAACTTCAGAAAAGTTCCGAGGGAACTTCAGAAAATTTCCGAGGGAACTTCAGAAAAGTTCCGAGGGAACTTCAGGAAAGTTCCGACGGAACTTCAGGAAAGTTCAGACGGAACTTCAGGAAAGTTCCGAGGGAACTTCAGGAAAGTTCCGAGGGAACTTCAGGAAAGTTTCAAGGGAACTTCAGGAAAGTTCCGAGGGAACTTCAGGAAAGTTCCAAGGGAACTTCAGGAAAGTTTCAAGGGAACTTCAAGAAAGTTCCAAGGCAACTTCAGGAAAGTTCCGAAGGAACTTCAGGAAAGTTCCGAGGGAACTTCAGGAAAGTTCCAAGGAAACTTCAGGAAAGTTCTAAGGGAAATTCAGGTAAGTTCCGTGGGAACTGCAGGAAAGTTCCGAGGGAACTTCAGGAAAGTTCCGAGGGAACTTCAGCAAAGTTCCGAGGGAACTTCAGGAAAGTTCCAAGGGAACTTCAGGAAAGTTCCGAGGGAACTTCAGGAAAGTTTCGAGGGAACTTCAGGAAAGTTTCGAGGGAACTTCAGGAAAGTTTCGAGGGAACTTCAGGAAAGTTTCAAGGGAACTTCAGGAAAGTTCCGAGGGAACTTCAGGAGAGTTCCGAGGGAACTTCAGGAAAGTTCCGAGGGAACTTCAGAAAAGTTCCGAGGGAACTTCAGGAAAGTTCCGAGGGAACTTCAGAAATGTTCCGAGGGAACTTCAGGAAAGTACCAAGGGAACTTCAGGAAAGTACCCGAAATTTTATAGAATTAATTTGAACTTCCCTTATTATCCTGCAGTTCGTTCATGAATCTTCCCTGAAAACCTTCCATTTTTTAAATTCTTTATAGTTCCTAAAATGTTCCTGAATTTCTCTAATATTTCCGGAAATTCTTGGAATTTCACTGAAACTCTCGGTACTCTTCTGATGATGCTCCTGGAGTTGAAATTCTTTCATCGATCCTGAAGCTCCCGAAATGTTCCTGAAGATTTTCGATACTTCCTTGACGCTCGTGGAACTTCCCTTAAAATCTCTTAACTACCCTGAGGTTCTCTAAACTTACCTGAAGTATTCATTCCTTCATGAATTTCCATAAATTTTCAAAAAACTCTCAGAACGTTTCTTGAGTTCCAACATTTTTTTTTCTGAAATTTTGTGGATTTTTCCTGAAGCCCGTCATTTTTCCTAATTTTTTGGAGCGTTCCTGAAATTCTCGGAATGTTTCAAAACTCCTCGACACTCCTTGAAAGTTCTTGCAATAATGTAACAACATTGCTCTGAAGTTCTCTGATATTACTCGAAATGCTTGAAAAATCTCTTAAAATAATGAATCTGCCTATATGGTATAAATTTCTCTTTGGACTTTGCTAAATTTCCGGTAATGCCCGAGTTTTTTTTTCGAAATTTCTCAAAATATGATAGTAGTTTTTTAAACTTTTCCGAAGTTCTTTGGACTTCTCTGAAATTCCTGGAACTTCATAAAGTATTTCAAAATTTTGCAGATTAAAAATAACATTTACGGATTCGAGCCTTAAATAGCCTAGTCAGTAAAGGCAATGTATTACCAAGTCAAAGCGGGTTTGATTCCCGAGGAAATCTTGACTTCCCTGGGCAAAGAATATCATTGAGCTTGCCACTCAATATACAAATTCATGGAGTGGTTGGTATAGAAAGCTCTCAATTAATAACCGTGGAAGTGTATCTAGAACACTAAGTTGAGAGCCAGCAAATCGTTCTCTACAGACGGTTTTACGCAGAATATCTTTTACAGATATTTAAGGTTCCATGAATGTCTGGACTTTCCTGAAATTATTAAGCGTGGCTTTATTGAAGTTATTGATCTCTGAGCTTTCCTGAAGATCTCTGTACCTAGCTTCTCTGAGGTTCTTGAAACTTCTTCACAGTTTCCACGATTTTCCTTAAATTCTCTGGACTCTGGATTTTTCTTAAATTCTCTGGACTAAAATATCAAAAAATCAAATCTCACCAAAGAACAAGATCACGCTTGATTTTGGTAGACAAAAATCAACAAGCAAACAACTGTGGTTGATATTGTAAGCTGTGATATCGCAGCTCGGAATATACAGCTAACAAAACTCACCAGCGGCAAATCTCAACAAACTGTGGTGAGATTGAGTTTCATGATTTTGGCTTTACACCCGAACGCAACCGAAACATCCATAACGGCTGGCAGCAGTCCCTTCGTGTCTTCCATCGGCGATGAGTTAAAATGGGAAAGCATTATTATACCTTCGCTTTCTAAGAAAACGAGATGCAGCGGAATTTCAGCTTCAATTTAACACGTTGTGAATAGTCTCACAATATCAAAGGAGCTTCTAAAATCAATATCAAGCATGATATTTTGTTCCAATATCACGCATGGTATGGAGATCGTAGATAGCGGAAAAATATCAATTTGCTAATGATTATACCATCACTGGCTCTTGGACCATCCTGAAGTTCTTAAAACTTTCCGGAAATTCTCACTTCTCTTCTGATGATGTTTCTGGAATTGCCGTAACATTAATGAAAGTTATGGCAGTTTCTTAACTTCCCAACGGTTTCTGGACTTACGTAAGTTTATTTCAACTTCTGTGAAGTTTGCAAAACTTTTCTATCATTATCTAAACTACCTTGATGTTCTATCTTTAATTTTTTAGAACTTCTAGAAGGCTCCCTGTATCTAATGAAACTGCCCAAATATTCTCGAAATTTCCCTAAAGTTCACACAATTTTCCTTACAATCATGGAACCACCCTGAGCTCTTAGAACTGGAACGTAACTTTCCTTAAGATCTTCAAACTAAACTGAAGTTTTGGCTACTCCTGTAAACTTCCTGAGGTAAATAGAACTGCCCTGAAGCTCTTTGATCTTCATTGAATTTCCAGAAATTTTCCTGAAATGGGTGGGACTGGCCTGAAACTATCGGAGCTCACCCTAAAAGATCTTAAACTTTCCCGTAGTTCTGGACGCTCTTGAAAATCTTGGAACTACTCCGAAGTTTTTGGAGATTCCTTTACAGTTTTGGATTTTCCAAGAAATTCTCAGAACAAACATAAAGTTTTCTAAATTTTCCAAAAGTTCACTAAAATTCAATAATGTTTTCACTATTTTTTCTGACTTTCACGGGACTCTCAACTTCTTGGATGTCTTTTGTACTTTGTTCTTGCAGTACCTATAAAGTTCCAGCATTGTTTTTTTCTGAAGATAATCGAAAGATGTTCACAAAAATTTCCAGAAGTTTTTGGAGACTCTCCAACTAGCAGTTTTTCTTTTCAAGTGGAGCAATATTTCTTCACTTAGAGAGCACCTAGTGAAAATTGGCACCTAGGGAAAATTTTCCTTTGAAAATTTATGTACCTGGCTTCACAGGCCCAAGTAAAAAAATGAATCTAACGAAACTGCCCAAATATTCTCGAATTATACCTGGAGTTCTCAAATTTTCTGGATTCTGGATGGTCTTGAAGATTTTGGAACTACCCTGAAGCTTTCGGAATTTCCTTTACTTTTTTGGATTTTCCAAAAAATTCTCAATACAAACATAATGTTTTCTAAATTTTCCAGACGTTTCAATTTTGACCATTTGACCGCAAAGTAATGGATTGGCGTCCAATTTTTCTGCTCTTGTTTATAAGGATTAAAAAAGACTACATCGGTTTTCGGAGCTCGTTAATCACCGAGTAACTATGAGTAACCACCATGAACATTTTTAAAGATCCCTTGATCTTCTTTGAAATTCTCTTGGAACCTCCCTAAATTTATCTTGAAACTTCCCTGAAGCTCTCGGAACTTCTCTTGGAACTTTATTGCAGTTCCCTTGGAACTTTACTGAAGCTTTTCCGGAATTTTCCTGATATTCCACCGAAATTTTCGTCATGTTCCTTGGGGATCGTCTGGAGCTTGCCTGGAGATTCTTCGGAAGTTTTTGGATATTCCCTCGGAACTATCTGAAAGTTTCTTAGAAACTTTTAGTTACAATCCCTTACGAGCAAAATTGTCCCCCGTGACCCATAACAATATTCAAATCGAGTAAGAGGACGAATTTCGTACACATTTTATCCACATCTCTTTTTATCAATCTTCCACTGTTCTACCCACACGTGCAAACCAACTCAAATCAATACTCATACAACGACCTAATTCTTCAATGCATCTAAAAGTCTAATAAATAACAATTACACCTCCAGTAAATAGGCTTCCCTAAAATGTTTGACATGCTTCAACGAAATCACTACCATATTTAAAAACAAAACAGTAACAACACTATCCTAACCGCACATAACATCCAAATAAAACAGCTATTCACCCCAATTCCCTCTCTATTTACATCGAAAACAGCCACACCCTTCACTGCCGCTTTCGCGGTCACCATCGGCGAACCCCTAGGGGGAGAAAACCCTCAAGCTACGGAGCAGTGTTGCCAGCACGTTAGCGAGACACTCGGCATGCAGGGCCAGTTGACCGGCCCCGAGTGGTCCGACCCGAACGCAGGCCAGCTCCCGGAAGCTGGAGGCCACATCGTGAACCTTCAGCACAATGTTGCGGGTTTGAAGCGGGGCCGAGGTGTACCGGGTCAAATCCTGTGCCAGCTCGGTGATCCTACGGAGCGACGAAAGGCAAGCCGTCAGATGTTCGGGCAAGTTGGTCAGATTGGCATCGGACATCGATACCACCAGGTGCTTGGACGATGTGACCAGGTGCAGCGATTGGTCGGTGAGTTCGTCTTTGGCTTGCTGGAATTTCTCCTCGTCGATGCTGGTGCCACCACCGGCAGTTTGGGCAGCGGAGCACATGGCCGCCACCTGGTCCAGTTTGACCAGAAGGCCGGCCATGGCGACGTCAGTTTTCGCCATCAGTGTGTCCACGTTCATGATGTGGCCATTCTTGTTCGATAGGATAGGACTTCCCGGGTTGCTCAGGTTGGTCTTACGGGACATCTGTGGTGAGCAGAGCAGCGAGAGCTGAGGTTTGTTCTCGGCGGAAGGGTTCTTCAGACATACCGGAGGGCAGTCGCTGTGTGATCGGTAGTGTCCGTTTTGGCGACTGGTTGGTGTCGGTGACATCGAATGCGCTCCCGGAGAGGATTTTTCGGGCAGGTCATCCCGGTTGAATGCTCGTTCAATTTCCCTATAACAGTTTGGATTGCGGTGAAAGTGAGGAGAACCGATGCCAGCCGTTCGAATCGGAGAATTATTGGCCGAACTGGACAGGGTGTATGTTACGGGGTTCTTGAGAATGGGCACCGGACTACGAATGCAGGGTTTCTGGGGAATGGGAGGTAGTGGGGGCTTCCTGGGAGGCAGGGTGGAGAGCGTGACGGAAGGAGGAGAGGAGGATTGCTTTTCGAACCGTGGTGGAAGGGAGGGTGGATTAATTTCGTAGTAGTTTCCTGAGTTGCCGTTGGTTTTTGCGTAGTTTGGAGATCGAACGGGGGAGTTCAGCTTGAGTTGAAGTTCAGCGCTCTTCGGAGGTCGTTTGGGAGGAGGAGTCGTTTCTGCGACATGAGGACAGCGTTTCGGGGGAAGCGCAAGTTCTTTGGATTTGGGTTCGCTGTTGGGGACTCCCCCGTTGGGAGCTTCTTGGTCCGTGGATTCTTCAGTCTTTTCTTTCTTCGTTTTTGTACAGCACGAGAAGGGTCCTTTCCTATCTACGGTTGGGTATTCGATGACGTGTCCATTGGTTTTCTCGGAGTTGGTCGTTGGTTTGTTGGTGTTGGCATTGGCCGCTTCGCTGTTGCTGTACAGGTCATATTCGGTCGACTTTTCTTCTAGTATTTCGGGAGGGTAGTAGACTTCGAATCGGGATTTGTCATACTTGGCCAGCAGATTGATCGAGTTGGTCTCGGTGCTGATTCTAGGCTTTGGCACTGGCGGCTCGACTGTGACATGGTTGAGGTTCTTGGTGTTGGTTGTGTTATTGTTCGCTAGTTGCTGGATGCTGGGAGGGTTGGTTTTCAGTGCTGGTGGCTTGGATTGCGTGGTGCCTGGATCGGTATCGGCAAGGCCCGGTGGAGGAGGAATTATGTAAGACAAGATCTCCTCCGGGGTCAATTCTACGGCTGGAGTGATCTTCTGAGTTGGGGGTTCGATTTTTACCTGTTTGAGGAACTCCTCCAGGTCACCGACGACGGAGTCTACGCCGGGAGGGTTTTGCTGGTCATCAAATCCTGTCGGAGGCACGTTCAGTACGTTTAGGTTGTCCAGTTCGTCCGGAGTTTGCGGAGGAGGTATCGAGCGAAGATCGATGATATCCGGGTCGGTTTCAATGATTGTATCTTCACCGATTTCGTAACCGTACAGTTCTGCTATCTTCTTAGCAGCCAGATCCGTATTGTCTGCATTGTCTCCGCTGCTGGCTTCCTTTAGCTGTCGGAGATATTCCTTCAGATTTATATCTTTTGTATCACAACCAAGAATCGAGCTATCCGGACTGTGTAGTCCAAAACTCGTTCGGAGAGTCTTGCTCCTTAGGCTAGTTTGAGGCAACTGGTTCGTATTCTTATTGTGGATTGGGGAGCTGTTCGGAGTGTACAACGACTCCGAATCACTCTCGCTTTGAGACAGATCATTTCCGAGTGCTTGCAGATCACTCAGGATTTGGCTGAGGCCTTGAACCTTCCGTTGACCTTTAGGAGTACTCTGCGCGGAGGGGTTGTCCAATCGTCCGTTGACTTCACTGAACGGAGCAGTGTAGATTGAATTCAATCCCTTAGCAATACCGTCCAGCCCTTGGTTGATCGTTTCGGAGAGCAAAGTGAGCGAGTCACTGTGCCGGAGTACTCCAGGAGCATCCTCGTTCGATGACTGCTTACTGCTGTTCATGCTTTCACAGTCACTTTCCACATCAACGGAAGTCTCACGCCACAGGTTCAACTTCCCAGGTCGCACGTCAAACTCGTGGCAGTATTCTCCGTGCTCGTTCAGATAGCGCTCTGAACTTTCCACCATCTTCTGCATCTCTGCGACTCTTCGTAAGACTTCTTCGTTCCGCGCTTCGGACATGGTATGCTTCAACGATCCACCTGAACCGGCTCGCTCCAGCCCGTCCCTGGAAACCCGTGGGTTGTGCAGCTCAAAACCATACTCGTCACCACCGGTCAGCTTGAGGTTCTTGTTCGACGTCAACGTATTGTTCATGTTCCGATCGCAATCGTCCGATTTCGAAGGAATGTACACCGTTTTGGTCGAATGGTACGGCGGCGGCATCAGGAAGGCCATACTGTGGGTTTGCTTCTCCGACGGAAGGTAACTCCAGCTAGCGTGCAGCACCGTATGCTGCGAGAGATATGGTGGTGCGATTTCCTCCACCGTCATTTCACGCTCCTGCTCCAGTGGGAGCTCTTTGCCTGGAATGGGACGTGGAGAATGTATTTTAGATATTTGGGTTTAAACTCTTGGCAATAGACTGGACTCACCGGCCATTAGTCGATAGTATCCGGCGAGAACGATGGCAAATTCACAGGCATCTCGATCTTCCATCGAGAAATTGATTACCCGGTCTGGGTTGATGAACACGGTCACCGTGTTGGACACGTCATCGTCTCGGTTTACCACGACGCGGGTCAAGTCTTCCAAGTTACATATCGGTTGCGGCTGAAATCGAGAAATTGAATCATGATTGAAAGTTTTTGCATTATTCAAGATCGGAATAAAAAGCAATTTACAGTAGAAACTTGGAAGTGCACTAACTCGTCGGACGTCCGAAATCGCTTTTTAATATTTGCATTTCCAATTGGCAAAAAGTTGATGAAGCTCAGGTGGAAACTTGGAATTACCATTATTCCTGATCGAATGAATTTCGACAGCGGCTGCTTCACAACCGTAATGGACGGATAGAGATTAGCCTTCCACCCACCGTATCAGAAAGTTGCATCGTCTTCGACTGTGTGCCAGCTGCACCATTTAGTTAGAATGTTTTAATTGGGTTTTGCAAATGGGAAATCATTTCCAGCAGCCACTATTCCTCGCAACAACTTTTCACATCAAGTTATCCGGAGGACTTCGGTTGCACATCATACTGACTGCGCAAAAGATGGGGGGGGGAGACAGGAGGGGATTCTTGCAAAAAGTCCCGCATCAGAAATGTGCGTCGAGAGTGAACGAACGAACGTGAAGCCGTAAATTCTCATTAAATATTTGTCCTCGGATTTTCACGGGCTGAGGTTGCTGCAGCAAAGTTTCACGTCTGCTGGATGCTTCGCTTTTAATTATGCCCTGGGGCGTGCAGCGAACGGATCAACCGGTGAGAATGTAGGATTTGGAATTATCGTGTCGTTGCTGCCGCCGTCAGGCAAAAAAGGATCTGACAAAGTTATTAGACGAACGATGTCCGCGGTGAGCTTGTTAGGAGTGCGCGATTGAATTTCTGCTGTCGTTCTAAAGGAGTGCAAGAGATGGAGTTAAGTTTTCCCTTTGGACTAGTTTGGGATATAATTTATCGTGTAGATTCCAGCAGGGAAGGAATTCCATAGGAAGAATGTTTCAAGTTTTTGAAAATCAGAGAATTCGTAGTGAATGTTTGCTACGCCCTTGGCCAGGGATGGACCGATCTTTGGAGCATCGTTCATTATTTTTAATATAGGAAGCTAACGTTAAGTCAAATTGAATTTTCAGTTAATCCATATTAAAATAGATGGATGAAAGATACTATTCTCCCGGTCAAACTTAACTTCAAACTTCCATTGAGCCACACTCTGTGTTTTCACTAAAGGTGCACTCGAGATACGCACCCTAGTGAATCTTCAGTAAAAACACGGAATGTGGCTCAACGGTGCAAATTTTTTGAAGTTTGAATGGGAGAATACCAGCATTAATCGATCTATTTTAAAATGGATTAACTGAAAACAATAATTGAACCTAACGCTAGCTTTCTATATTAAAAAGTAATGAACGATGTTCAAAAAGACTGCCCTTGACAAACCGCAAAAATGACGCTCTTTTCCTACAAGATTATTTCAACCACCAGGTTTCGAAACAGAGTGTTTCGCAATCTCAAACATGTATAAGGTTTATACCAAATGGGAAGAACCCTCAGTTAATTAATAATAACACTTACACATACACGCATTACCCAAAGAAACTCTTCACATATTTGATATTGATATAAAACGATTTTTAGTCCCTTAAAATCATCCCGTACCGAGATGGGAAATGACAGGTGGGCAGAAACTCACGGTCTCCCAGTGTTGGTGAGTTCTTTGCCGTTAATGTTCACGTACACCTTCCGGTCATATGAAACAGGTCAAAAACCGTCCAAATCCGCCCGAAAAAAAAAAATGTTTTGTATTTCTGTATGGCAAATTAGTGAACTTTTCGTGAACATTAACGGCAAAGAACTCACCAACACTGGGAGACCATGAGTTCCTGCCCACCTGTCATTTCCCATCTCGGTCCCAGGCGATACGACTACATTGTGCGAGGTTGTCCGAATGCCATGCGAGATCGAGATGGGAAATGACAGGTGGGCAGGAACTCACGGTCTCCCAGTGTTGGTGAGTTCTTTGCCGTTAATGTTCACGAAAAGTTCACTATTTTGCCATACAGAAATTCAAAACAAAAATGTTTATCTGTGGATTTGGACAGTTTTTGACCTGTTTCATACGACCGGAAGGTGTATGCTGGTTACAAATGCCGTGCCAAACTGATTTCCTACGCAACTAATCAATCTTTGATGTGAATTTCGCTAATAAACACGAGGAGCATTTCTTATAGCAAAACTTGCCATAACAAAATGGGCATAGTTCATTTTAGTAAACAAACTAACACTTCTTCCGACTGTGTCACCTCTCTTACTCGCCTAGATGCGAGATTGGGTATCTTTAAACCTTCCTAGTGCATTAGGGTCGTTTTTTCCTCGTCGTTATTTCGAAAAAGCTGCAACCATGCTTGGCATACACAGTTTTGGTCACGAACTGCTCATTTGCTAATAACTTTGCACACAGTTGACGAAACATAGTTCTGTTTGAAGCAGGTGATAGAATAGAGTTTGAGCTTGCTATAGATACGTAAAAAAAGTAGATTTTAATTTTAGTAATAAACTGTATTTGTCTTTGCGTTGCAAAAATGAAGTGAGAAATGCTCGCTGCACATCTCGGACTTTAAGTGTAAAAATTCATTGGTGTTGGTTCAAATGTTAAGATTTAAACAAAAATCGAAAGATCGCTTCTCCAGGCCACCGACTAATTATCGTCCAACGATGCAATTTCATCGAGGTGAAATTCTAAACCCATATCCGGAGAGCGAATCTCCATGTACCATTCCTGCGCCTAACCGGATGATTTCAGCTACTGCATGCGAGGCTAGGCGAGTAAGAGAGGTGACACAGTCGGAAGAAGTGTTAGTTTGTTTACTAAAATGAACTATGCCCATTTTGTTATGGCAAGTTTTGCTATAAGAAATGCTCCTCGTGTTTATTAGCGAAATTCACATCAAAGATTGATTAATTGCGTAGGAAATCAGTTTGGCACGGCACTTGTGACCAGCATACACCTTCGACTAAATTGACGAGTCATCTAGAGGAAAGTCCCAACGATGACAATGTTCTTGAAGAACTGGACAACTTTCACGATTTGACGACCTCTCGACAGCAGGAAGGAGAGGTAATTAATTTAAATAGTTTTAGTTTGCCACCTAGTACTGAAGCACAAATTTTGGAATTGCTTCGTAATGATGAAAGTAAGGAGTTGGTCATTTACTGTCAGAATTTTAATAGAATGAGAAGCGTCACCAAAGTGACAAGATAGTTAATGCTTGCACTTTTCCTGTGATTGTAGGAACAGAAACAAATTTGGATTCTAGTGTTAAAAACGAAAAAGTTTTCGGTGATCGTTTTAGAGATGATCGCGATAAATTATTATCCAACAAAAAATTCGGTGGAGGTGTGTTAATAGCAGTTAGTGTGGAGTATGAATCTGAGCAAATTTCATCTTGCAAAAACAAGGAGTTTGACCATGTATGGGTCAAATTAATTATTGGTGATCGTGTTCATATTTTCGCTGTTGTGTATTTTCCAAAAAAGAGGCATTTGAAAAAAAATTTGTCTTGCTAGCAGTATTATGTCGGAATTCGAGGCTGAAGCAAACGTTCACATACGGAGATTTTAATCAAAGGGCAGCTAATTTTACTGTAGATGACGAAAATGAATCCATTTTAATTCCGATAATGGGGGAAAATGAAACACTTCATACTTTGTTTGACAAATGTGCAGAAATTGGATTGAATCAAGTAAATCATATAAAAAATCAAAATAATTGCTATTTAGATTTGCTATTTACTACCATGACTGATGATTTTGGCGTATCAGAGTCACCTTCTCCTCTTTGGAAAATTAAAGTGTGCCACACTGCCATTGAATATTCCATAATGATACTTGAAAAAACCGCAATGGTGGATAATAATTTGTCAGATCCCTATTTCGATTTCAGTAAGGCAGACTATGGAGCTATCAAAAATAAATTGAACAGTATAGATTGGCAACTTGTAATCCGTAATCATGATGCAGAACATTCAGTTGATGTATTCTATCAGATTATTTATTCTATTCTAGAGCAGACAGTGCCCATGAAGCAAAAGAAAAAAGTCAATGCAAAAACACCAATATGGTACAATAGACAGATAATAAATCTTAGAAAAAGAAAGCAGAAAGCTCATAAAGAGTACAAGAGAAGCAAAAATGATGAAAATTTTACCTTTTATCTTACTATTTGTGACCAACTTAATTTAGAAATTGAAAATGCATATGAAGAACACAATAGAAAGATTGAAACTAACATTTAGTCAGACTCAAAATCCTTTTTTAACTATGTTAAAGAAAAGCAAAAATCCAAGAGCTTTCCATCAAAAATGCAATTAGACAGTAGGTTGGGCAATACTCCTAGTCAGATTAGTAACTTATTTGCTGACTTCTTTCAGGACGTTTATACAATTCATGATGGGAATGAGCGAGATTATCAATATTTTTCGTATCTCCCCGAGCCAATGAAGAACATCGCAGTGGATAATTTAACTCTCAAGGAAATTATACGTGGTCTTGAAACCTTGGATGCTTCAAAAGGTGCTGGACCGGATGGTTTACCACCAATTTTTTTAAAGTAACTTTCGAAGGAGCTAGCAAAGCCTTTGTTCTGGCTGTTTAATTTATCCTTGGAGTCGAGCGTACTTCCTCCGATTTGGAAGGAATCATTTTTAATTCCAATTTTTAAAAGTGGTAAAAAGTCTGATATAAAAAACTACCGTGGAGTTGCTATATTATCAAGCATTCCTAAATTATTCGAATCCATCATTAATGACAATGTATTCTTACAGATTAGGTTGGTAATTACTAGCAAATAGCACGGATTTGTTAAACTCATTGGATAAAGGCATTTGACAGAGTTGATATACCACTCTTGCTTTTTAAGCTTTCCAAATTAGGCTTCAATCCTAGGCTACTGAAATGGATCGAGTCGTACTTATCAAGGCGGACGCAAAAGGTAAGATTTGAGGGAAATCTGTCCACCATAGTTAATGGAACATCTGGTGTGCCACAAGGTTCACATCTTGGTCCATTACTGTTTATTTTATTTGTCAACGATATAGAACATATTTTTAAATTT